GGCCAAAAAATTTAAATTTTTTAATGCCCAGCTAATTTTTTTTTTTTTTTTATAGAGATGGGTGGTCTCGCTATGTTGCCCAGGCTGGTCTTGACCTTATGGGCTCAAGCAAACCTCCTGCCTCGGCCTCCCTCAGTGCTGGGATTACAGGTGTGAACCACCATGCCTGGCTGATCTTAATGCATTTTTCTCAGTAAGATGCATTCACATCCCAACCAACTTGCGCTTTATTGAGATGTATTTAAACACAAGAACATTCACTCTTTTTAGGTGTATGGTTTGTAAGTGGTGATAAAAGTACACAATTTTGTATTACCACAACTTCTACCTGCAATTTTACTGGCCCTAGACAAGAGGTTTTGTTAGTGGTGTTTTAATTGAGATAGAATCTGGCTGTGTTACCCAGGCTGGTTTCAAACTTCTGGGCTCAAGCCATCCTCCCACCTCAGTCTCCCTAGTAGCTGCGATTATAGGCATACATGACTGCTTTGACCAGAGTTTTTAAAAACTACACTACAGGCCGGACACGGTGGCTCACACCTCACTCCTAGTACTTTGGGAGGCTGGGGGGCGTGGATCGTCTGAGGTCAGGAGTTCGAGACTAGCCTGGCCATCATGGTAAAGCCCCATCTCTACTAAAAATACAGAAATTAGCCAGGCATGGTGGTGCAATCCCAGCTACTTGGGAGGTTGAGGCAGAAGAATTGCTTGAACCCAAGAGAAGGAGGTTTCATTGAGCCGAGATAGCGCCATTTCATTCCAGCCTGAGCGACAAGAACAAAACTCCGTCTCAAAACAACGCCAACAACAAAAATACACTACAGGCCGGGCATGGTGGCTCTTGCCTGTAATTCCAACACTTTGGGAGGCCAAGGAGGGTGGATCACTTGAGGTCAGGAGTTCGACACCAGCCTGGCCAACATGGTGAAACCCCCGGTCTACTAAAATACAAAAATTAGCCAGGGATGGTTGCATTGCCTGTAATCCCAGCTACTCAGGAGGCTGAGATGGGAGAATCGCTTGAACCTGGGAGACCGTGGTTGCAGTGAGCCAAGATTGCACCACTGCACTCCAGCCTGGGTGCTGAGCGAGACCCCATCTTAAAAAAAAAAAAATACATATATATATGTAATTTTGAAAAATTATGAAGTCAAGGGAAAGTAATATTTTATGAACATTTTATTGATGTATAGTGAATACATATTAGGTTACAAGGAAAGTATTTTTCTGGCCGTAGATCAAGTTTAAAGACGTTTGAGGCCGGGCGCGGTGGCTCAAGCCTGTAATCCCAGCACTTTGGGAGGCCGAGGCGGGCGGATCACGAGGTCAGGAGATCGAGACCATCCTGGCTAACACAGTGAAACCCTGTCTCTATTAAAAAATACAAAAAACTAGCTGGGCGAGGTGGCGGGCGCCTGTAGTCCCAACTACTCGGGAGGCTGAGGCAGGAGAATGGCGTGAATCCGGGAGGCGGAGCTTGCAGTGAGCTGAGATCCGGCCACTGCACTCCAGCCTGGGCAACACAGCGAAACTCCGTCTCAAAAAAAAATAAATAAATAAATAAATAAATAAAGACGTTTGAGAAATGCTGCTTTAGACACTTATTAAATGAGATCACACTGGAAGTCATTTAGTGCAGTATTGGACATATAGTAAGTGCCTAATAAGTGTTAGCTATTATCACTTGTATAACTAATTATTGCCAGTATTTCCTCTGTGTTTGACAGTGATGAAGTTGAGAGAAGGGCAGTCTCTAGCCCTCTGCTAGCTCATGGTCCTGCCTGTACTTCACACTTCTCACTCACTGAGCAGTGTCCAGACTGCCCATTGCAGGGCAGATAGCCGGAGGTCAGATGTACTGGAATGTTCTCTTTTTTTTTTGAGATGGAGTCTCGCTGTGTCGCCCAAGATGGAATGTGATGGCCCGATTTCTGCTCACTGCAACCACCACCACCTCCTGGGTTCAAGTGATTCTCCTGCCTCACCCTCCTGAGTAGCTGGGATTACAGGCATGTGCTACCATGCCCAGCTAATAATTTTTGTAGTTTTAGTAGAGATGGGGTTTCACCATGTTGGCCAGGCTGGTCTCGAACTCCCGATCTCAGATGATCCGCCTGCCTCGGCCTCCCAAAGTGCTGGAATTACAAGTATGATTCACTATGCCCAGCCTGTAATATTCTTTTCTTCTTTTCCTCCTCCTCCTCCTCCTTCTTCTTTCTTCTTCTCCTCCTCCTCCTCCTCATCCTCTTCTTCCTCCTCCTCCTTCTTCTCCTTCTTCTTTTTTCTTTTTTTTCTTTTTTTATAAAGATGGAGTCTCACCATGTTGCCCAGGTTGGTCTCAAACTCCTGGGCTCAAGTGATCCTCCCTCCTTGGCCTCCCGAAGTGCCTCGATTATGGGCATGAGCCACCATGCCCGGCCCCGGAATGTTCTTTCTTTGTTTCTTTGTAGAGACAGGGTTTCACCATGTTGCCCAGGCTGGTCTCAAACTCCAGCCCTCAAGCAATCCTCCCTCCTTGACCCCCTAAAATGCTGAGATTACAGGTGTGAACCACCGCACCAGCCTGTAATGTTCTTTTGAGAAGAAAATGAGTATGAAAGATAATGGGAATCTGGCTTGGTGGCTGGAGGTAGAAAAGACAGGGAGAGGCCAAGAGTCTATTTGGCCATAAGCATTGTCACTAGTCAAAATCCTCCCTACAGCTGGGCGTGGTGGCTCACGCTTGTAATCCCAGTATTGTGGAAGGCTGAGGAAGGCGGATTGCCTGAGCCCAGGAGTTCCACACCAGCCTGGGCAACATGCAGGAACCTAACTGGGAGGCTGAGGTGGGAGGAACGCTTGAGCCTGTGAGTTCGAGGCTGCAGTGGGCTGTGATCGCACCATTGTACTCCGGCTTGGGCAACAGAGCGAGACCCTATCTCAAAAGCAAAACGAAACACCAGCCTGGCCAACATGGTGAAACCCTGTCTCTACTAAAAATTCAAAAATTAGCTGGGTGCGGTGGCACATGCCTGTAATTCCAGCTACTCAGGAGGCTGAGGCAGAAGAATCGCTTGAACCCGGGAGGCGGAGGTTGCAGTGAGCCAAGATCGTGCTACTGCACTGCAGCCTGGGCAACAGAGCAAGACTCCGTCTCAAAAATAAAAAACCAACCCCCAATCGCAAAACAACAACACAAAACCCTTGTGGGCAAAGAAAAAGAAGTTTGTGGGTGGGTTAAGGGCTGCCTCTTTTTTTTTTTTTGAGACAGGGTCTTGCACTGTTGCCCAGGCTGGAGTCTAGTGGCATGATCACAGCTGACTATCACAGCTCACCGCAGCCTCCACCTCCTAGGCTCAAGCAATTCTCCTACCTCAGTTTCCCAAGTAGCTGGAACTACAGGTGCACACCACCACGCCTGGCTAATTTTTTATTTTTATTTTTATTTTTTTTGAGAC